TCAGCCGACAATTTATAAAGTTATGGAATAATACGGCTCCGTCTTTACGTTGCATTGTTCCCGAGGCAAAAATCTCTCCGCGTGATCCAGTCTCTGTCGAGAAGCAGTGCTGAGAAAGACTCGCGGAAGGGGCCCAACAATAACATTGACATTTCTAAATTGGTAAGAAAAAAAATTGCACGTTGGATTTAATCCGAGACTGGATTTGCATGCGATGCATTATTGCTCTTGGGACCAATGTCCCATGGTCCCTTTACCATGCAACGCGCAGCAAACGGTGATGCCCTGTAGTAGACTTTAACCACGTTACCCAATATCAGCGACATCCAAACCATAAAACGCAAACAAACGCACTTGTTGCCAAGCATACCAATGGGAATCTTGGATTCTCTTCACACAAAGAAGATCCCCCGTGTAGCCTTAACAGACTGTTGGGGCAAGTGCTGTTCGCGAGTAGCACCTATGAAGGCCGGCACGGCACACGAGGGGGTGGGTGGCCAGCACCACGCCCGGTCGCCGTTGTCTCCCCAGTGGCGATGTTTACTACACACCGCACGAGGTACTCATTTGAGGCTGACTCGATCTAGGGAAGGGCCCAGGACCGATACAAATAATCATCACTGATGTTGGCCGTGAGCGGGGATCGAACTCGAGTCGCCGAGTTTGTAGGGCAGCACGCTAATCGCTACACTACCGCTCCCCAGTCTTCATAAAGTATACGCACACGCACGCAGAAAGAACAACATGTTTAATGTTGTAGGGGGTGGACATGAGAAATCTGCAACACCCACTGCTTTCATTCGTGTGCTGATACACGAGCTTAACACGCGACGTGAAGTTACAAGGCCTAGAAAAAGGCTCGTTTTATTTCCACACGCTCTGACCCCGGGTTAACCTGTGCCCCACTACAGCTCTACAATCAGGCCACCTCACCCTAGAGCGCCGACATTTGTTAAGGTAACGGACTACATTCCGAAGTGCACTTCTCCGTGCATCACCAAACTCCTGGGGCATCGTTGCTTTCACGCTTTTACCAGCGAAAGAAGTCTCTTCCACGACGGGCTAACGCTGAATATAACGCCATTTGACGGGCACCCCTTAATTCGAATATTGCTGCCAATTCTCAACCATTGATCTATTCGGCGCGACGCTGGAATGGAAAGAAAAAGCACACACCCCCCTCCCCCTTCATCACCCCGGGGGCTCAATCGAGCAAGATCCCAAAACTTGAACTTGCGTACCGAGTTATTTTCGTCCACACACCGTTTACAAAACCGTTTTCCTCTTTCCTGGTACGGAATCGTAAACGGGATGCCCCCGCTACGTCTCGGCACACGCGTGAGCGGAACTCTGGTAGCACCCGCGGGGTTTTACCTTACACACACACACACACCCTATCACTTTCACCTTATCCCTGACCTCCCCCCCCCCAATCACTCCCCATCGCTGCGCCGCGCATCGCGCGTTTGTCCCGTTTAACCCGAGAGGGCAAAGGGTTCCCACCTCGGACAGATTATCCGGGGCGCGAGATGGTAGCCGCCGGTTGCTCGCACCCCCCACACCCCCCACCACCGGCTCGCCATCCCCGACATTCCGTGGAACATGTTGTCCGATCGTTTAGGAGGAGCACAGGGCGTGGGGCAAGGAAACACCCACCGCCGCCAAGGTCACCGCTGCTGCTGCTGCTGCAGCTCGCTTCTGCTGTCTCCTCTCGAGCCACGAACTCGGTCGACTCGGGTTTCGGTTGCGAGGAGCGAGGGTGCGTGGGGGGTGGCAGGCTGGAGAGGCGGGATTGTTTTGTTTCGTTCTTTCCCTTCTCGTATTATATATATAAAAAATAACCGCAGCTGAAAAAACACCCGAGCGTACGAAATCTGAAATATGCCGAGAGGAGACGCAAGCGAATTCCTGGCACACGCTAAAAAAAATCCCCAATTGTTGTAAAACAATGAAAATGTTACATATTCCCTTTCTTACATCGATCTTGACGGGTTTAGTTTTATTGCTGACACATGTAGTTATGTACTTTTGCCGATGCGTGTGCGTTTCTTTATACGACCGGTAGCTGATTGAATAACATTTGTTTTAAGTGCTATACTGTATGTTTATAATTGTATAAATACAGTGCCATACAATATTTTTATGAATATTGTTTTGCTCACGTAATTTTCAGTCCTATATCAATCCACCGCGGGATGAAATATTCCCTACACTGTGTTAGTCAGAGGAGTTATTTGACCATACTTCACCAATCTAGGCAGTGTGGGTTGATGAAGGGTAAGCCGAGGAACAGATCAGACAACACTCGCCACGAATGTTTGCCGTGGCCGGGAACCACCTTCATTTCTTATCTAATATATGTTGAATTATTATTGGGGCTTCATCTTATAATTTGTTAACTATGGGGATGATCAGATTTGTGACAATTTCATAAACTAAACTATTTAAATGTTTACGACGTAAGGCCCACTGAGCTGTAGAGCTCTTTTTCAGAAGTGACTTGGCTATCACAGATGATAACTTTTTAATTGTTTTGTTTTGGTGCCATTTCGTAAATTGTTCATTCATTATGGGAACCTCATTTGCCAGTAAAAATTATGATAATTGGTTGTTTACCCTTCTATCTGGCAACAAAACTGACACCTTTTTTTACAAGGAGTCATGTTTGCATAGACCGCAATACCTGCAGTCATAAATACAAACAAAAGACATAACTCTGATAATGTGCACTGTCCTTGAAGCTGATTGGTCCACACCCGAGACAGCTTTCCTAGTCTCACATGGGTTGCCAGATAGAAGGGTAAACAACCAATTAACTTGTTCATTCATTTTAGATTTTAATAAGGGTTTCATTTGCTCGGTAAAGACAGTATATGGGATTTCGTCCTAATATATAATAAATGTACAGCGTTATGGGATGCTATTAGCATGAATGACACCATGTAAAAAGAAAGTAGTATTATTTTGTGGAAATTTACAGCAGCCAAATATTCTAGACGCATATTTAAAATGTGGAGGGAAAACCCTGAGGACCCGGAGAAAAATCAAAGCGACCACGGGAAGAACACGCACACTCCAAATATACAGCAGACATCAGGATCGGGATCGAACCCACGACCTCCTGTATACCAGGCAAGGTAGTTAACATCTCACCTCCGCGGCACCCCATTGCCACCAGGCAGAAGATTGGGGCATTGTAATTCAGTTAATACAGCAATGAGTTCATCAACTGGAGTTAATCAATTGACTCTCGACTGCCCAAACACAACACAGCCACAAGCAATGCCACCACAACCGTCCACTCTCTATAAAAAGATACCAATACGACAGTGCCTGAAGCCTCGAGCAATGTTTTCATTTTCTTTTCCAGTGTGCGTGTATGTTCCCCACTGAAGTTTTCACCGTTTCACTTTCAAGTGTGCTCCCAAAAAAACAATACAAAGACCCCAGCACTCCACCGTACAGGCATGGCATTTACGGCACAAAAATCACTACAAGATTCGAGCCCGAGCTACCGGTGGCCGGCCCACCTGCGGTGCCTTTAATGTATTATTGATCAAGCCCAGGAAACGCTTCAAGCAGAATAAAACATCACCTGGCCGCGCTGAAAGGGGGGTGCAGTGTGCGAGAGTGAACCCTCCAATCCCAGGGCTTACCTCCCCAATCCGGGACAATGCTGTCACAATCCCACCACCATGGGCCCGCGCCTGGCTTCACTTTTGTTTTCCAAATCCTTGCAAAAGAAAACTCGGCCCTAAAAAAACAAAAACTTTTTCTTCCACACCCCCCCCCAGCTGCCGCATGGCTCGCGCCGTTCAGAGAATAAAAAGAAAGCGGGAAAAAAAGGAAATTTGAATTGACAAAGGAAGTTGACTTCTGGACACTCTGCGATGACCTAGGAGGCAGGGCCTACATTTTAGCCGCGTCTGCCTGGGTCGTCTTCTTACCCAGAACATGTTTACGCACGACCGGCACACCACGTCCAGTATGCCTTTCGCCTATGGCCGCGGCTGCCGGGAGTCACGTGGCCAAATGCAGTTTGCGAGCGACCACAATAAAATGTTATTCGGTGACAAATTCGGCCGGCGAAATGTACCCGCCGGTGTTGAAGCGGCCACGTGCAGGCTGCAGACGCGTCGAGAGACGGAGAAAGCGCAGCTGCTGACACCTGACAGGTGGAGCCCGACTGAAAGCCGAGGCCGGAATTCCCACCTGTGAATTTTAAATTTCCTGTTTTGAGCCAGATGAAAATCTGCAATTTTCCTAATGGCTTCTTGACGTTGTCATTAAAACCACATCGGGAGAAAACATTCCCCTTGGATGCGAACGGGGATAAGAACTTTGGGGATTTGTGCTCGTTCAAGCTACGCGTGTCACGCTTTAACATCTCCAAACGCGCAGCCCCTTCCCTCCCCCAAGCCTACAATCCAGTCCTGCACGTTCCCAGCATCCGCCAGGCAGAGTCGGGATTCCGATCAGATTGCCGATATCATTCCGCCGGGACAGTGGGAGACGCGGTGAGGCAGCGGTCGCTTAAAAGAACGCAGCACTCGAGGCCGACTCGACGGGAGCAGTGCGAGCAAGATCTGAGTGACTCTGCGCGACGAGAAACGATGGCACGACTTGGTGTGTTCACGCAAGAGCACGAGGGTTGGATGTATGTATGTATGGTGTACGTATGTACGTATGTATGTGGGGAGCGGTCGTGTAGCGGTTAGCGCGCTACTAACCCAGCGACCCGAGTTCGATTCCTCTTCAGGGCAAATACCAGTGACGATTATTTGAACCGGTCCTGGGCCTCCCCTAGGTCGACTCAGCTTCAAATGAGTGCCTGGTGCGGTGTAATAAACATCACTACTCGGTGGCGGTGCTGGCCACCCACCCCCTCGTGTGCCGTGCCGGCCTTCATAGGTGCTCGCTAACAGAACTTGCCCTAACAGGCTGTTAAGGCTATACGGGGGATCTTTGTCTTGGTTGTGTGTGACAAGTCAGGTACTCACAATCTCTCCAAGTAGTTCAGTCCATAGAAGGAGCCGTTCTTCAGCTGAGAAATCCTGTTGTTGCTAAGGATCCTGGAAACGAAAAACAGAGACATCACAAATTTCAAACCGTGTTCAGGAGAGCGATGGGCAGGCCCGCGGCGCGATTAAACATTTCATTAAAAGGGAATTCGATTTTAAAAGCCTCGGCGGCACCGAGTCAGAGAAACCGCACGGATGATCGTGCTGGCAACTCGCAAAGAGAGGTCTCACTCAGCGAGGCGCGGGGAACGGCGATAATTCGACCAAACTCATTGCGATAAAGGCGCGGGCAAGACGGGGGCGAGTAAACAGATAATGGCTTTGCGGAATTTCTGACTGACGAACGCTACTACGGGGGAGATGCTCGATATCAAAACTGGCGTCCTCATGTGTCGCTTTGCAGACACAAACAAAACATAACTGAACAATTGCGAACGTGCCATCGCAATTTTTGCCCAAACTAATTAAATACTTCCAAGGACAATTGCGCGTCGGGCCAAGCGGTTGCACAACGCTTGTCCGTGATTTCCCCCGAACTTGTGTGAATTTCGAAGCTCGCCTCTCTCACAGCGGATAATTCCGCCACCAAGCTGTCAAAGCACAGAGGGGCCGGCAATCGCTGAGAAAATCAAGTAACGGAGCCGTCCCTTCACACGTCCTTAGACAAATAAATCAGGATTCCTCCGGTATCGGCTTTCCGAGGCGACCTGCTTCCCCCCGCGGCTTCTTCAGCTGTCGCCATGAATCACGAGCCGGAGGGGAGGTTCCCCATGGCTCTGAACTTTGTGCCGAGGGGGGGGGGGGGGTGGGAGATAATATCTTGGAACGGGCCCTGGTGGAACGTTTCAAAACCCGTAGGCAAGCGAGAGAGAGAGAGAGAGAAAAAAGAAATGTTGTTTTTAATATTTGTAGCAGACAGGTCAAAGGTCAAAGCGTCTCCCAGCTCGAGCGGAGCACACCGCAGGGCTCATCATCTCTGTCGGGACCCCCCCCCCCACAGCCAGCGGTGGACATTCCACATTCCTATGAACAGATTGTCTCCGCTGTTGACTTTGAACAGAAGTACTCGTTTTAATGACCTCTCCAGAAGTATGATGAGTTGAGTTGATCCCCGACCGCGATTTGAACCCGCAACTTTCAGATTGCCAAGCGAGCGCTCAGATGACCGTGGCCACCTGAACCAACAACATTCGTCAGTCAACGTCACCTTCTTCATCCACTGTTGGATGAATGCCTCCCCCAAGGCTCCGTGACGCGACAATCCATCTAGACGCCTTGCATGCATACGAGCCGATTGCATCGCTCCATCTCTACGGTGGACGGCTGCTTCGGCTACCACCCCGCCGTTTGTAGTTACAACTCGTCCCCTTCCCAGCCATGATACGTCATCCTGCCCGAGCCCACTCTTTTCCTGAGCGTCAACCCTGACAATGTCTATATTCTTGGGTTTTTTCTGTAAAGTCACGTAGGTAAAAATTTAAAGTAATAAAAGTAAAATAAAACAAAATAAAAAGATCACGACGTTGTCTCTAGAACTTGCGTTCGTTCGTTAATTCTCCAATCCACGTGGCCCCCCCCCCCCCCCCCCCCGTCTCTCTCGGGTTTGTTCATTCCAAGCACGGCCACCACCTCTCCACGCTTCTTCCACCCGCACTTTCTTTTTGTTATCCCGGCCGCGTGGCCTTCGGTAAATCTCGGTCACAATTAAAGGCTTCAATCGGCAGGCGCGCCCGACGAGAAAAAAAAGATGCGCGCCGTGACACGACCGCGCATCGGGATCACGCGCGAGCCATCAAACAAAGCACTCGAGGGAGGGAGGGAGGCAGGCGAGGTATGCGATGTGGCCCAGGTGTAACTCGTTATTAATTACAAATTCCAGCACACTCTCTAAGCCGGCTTCTGGCTTCCAGGAACTTTAAATTGGTAATGCGGAACATGCTTTGTCTCAATGACACTGGCCAATGCATCCAGCATTACGCCATCTGGCTGACAGTAATGTTTTTAGTTGGAGGTTTATATATATATTACTACTCATAGTCACTGTCTCATAATGTGCCATCCAAAAACATTTGGTTTCGGTAAAGAGGATATTGTACTTGAGTGAAAAAAGTCATTATTTTGTGAAATTATATTCTCAGTGTAATCCGGAACAGAAGCGAGGGACTGGCATTTGCAGGAAATTAATAACGTAAAATAACGAAACTTTACAACCACTTAATATATATCCACTGAAACGCAGCCACGGTTTACAGGATATTAAAAGGAAGAGCGTTATTGTGTACGACGCAGTGAAAGCCTTCGGGAGGGATCTCTGCCGATCTTTACGAAAGGGGGCATTCACTCGCGGAGCTGGTCTAATAAAACAGCATCTCTGATTGCCGAGATTACAGCGGAACTCGATGAAAACTTTCATGTAACATTTTTTGCGGCTAAGAATTCGCGTTAAAAAAACAACAACCTCCACTAGGCTGGGCGGCGCTCAATCCAAAACAAATCCATGCCATCGCACGGACGTTCCGCTTATTACACGCGACGACGACGACGACGGGGGGTGGGGGGGCACCGGGACGTGCCGAGTGATGGGACGCCGCCACCGACCGACACAATCAGGCGCGGCGCTCGCGCAAAAATCTGGCGGCATTTCAAGCGCTCGTCACGTGGCGTCACGTCACGTCACGTGCCCTCCCCGCGTGTTTGTGACGCCGTCGGCGAGCCGCGTGGCTTTCGCGAAACCGCCCGCGGCCTCGCGCAAGTCCAAGTCTGAACAATGATGTCGCCGTTTGGGCTGTCGTGGCGTCCCCAGATTTTTTCACTTCGATGCCTTTTTTTTTGTAAATCTCACCCGACGATGTTTTTGGAGAAGCCCCGGAAACGCACCGCCCGAAGCAGTGAGCCTCGTGATAAGAGCTGAACAATTCCACGATTCATCATCGTCGTCATTACTGATCCTGATTATACTTATGGGATGTCATCGTGAAGGCGGTTATTTACAGCTTAAAAAATCGTGGCTTTTAATAAGATGAGAGAACGGTTTGACACTCAGGATGAAACTGATTGCACCATCACCATCCCAGCGTGGATGGACACGTCCGTTCATCTGAGTGAGTTTGACGCCGTGGTGTTTTATCGCTAAATGTTGGACTAATTGTGTACAGATGAATTGAGGTCTACATTGGATTGACAGACTATGCCAAAAGGCCGCTTCACTCATGTATACCCAAGACGTTGAAAAGACTGAAATGTAGTCCAACATCACGGCAACATCTCCGGTGCCATCTCTCCCCTCCGCCTCTCCTGCCAAAACGAAAAACTCCAGGCAAAATAAGTCACACTCCGTGTTGTGAACTTTTCCAACACAAACTGTAGCCAAAGTCTTTTTTTTTCGTCCCCACAGAAGCTCTGAAATTGAACAAAGTAACCAGAATGTATCCGGCAAAGCCCCTCCGAGTGTCAAGGCTCACTACTACGCGGCCAATTGACGTGGGGGAAACTCGCGCCCACGAGAGGGTCTTACTCAGCACTGCACGCCTCAACAGACCCTCAGAAAAAATACAAAGTTCCCCCGTATAGCCTTAACAGACTGTTGGGGCAAGTGCTGTTAGCGAGCACCTATTTAAGGCCGACACGGCGCACGAGGGGGTGGGTGGCAAGCGCCACGGTCGGCCGCCTTTGTCTCCCGAGTGGCGATGTTTGCTACACACCGGGCACCCATTTGAGGTTGAGTCGACCTAGGGGATGCCCAGGGACCGGTTCAGATCATTGTCATTGGTGTTGGTGGCCGTGGGCGCGAATCGAACTTGGGTGGGTGGCCAGGTTCGTCGTGTGGCGTGCTAACGGCAGCACCACCGCTCCCCGACACGATTCACGGACACCTGGTGGGGCGTGGCAGCCACCCGCCCCAAGGACTAACCAGGATGAACGCGGCTTTTCTTCCGAGATCCAACGAGACTTGGGCGAGCACTTACGATGATTTGGTCGTGGGCAGAGGAAGCAGGGTAAGAGAGTTCCTCCTAATCCCGGCATTTAATTCCGATTCTTCTCCTTTATCTTCTTCCCGCAGTCAAAGCGTAACAAAGGGGAACTGCTCACCCGGAGCAAGCCTCGTGGTTTATTAATGCCGATTGTTATGCTAAAGCGCTCGTCTTTAGTCGCCCCGCAATGGACATATTGCACATTATCCCGTTAATAATCTCGGCTCAAGTGGGCTCGTGATTTGCCCCCGGCCAACAGAGGCACGCTCCGCTCGCGCGCGCGCGCGCAGACAAAACACGAGGGGGCTTGTTTAACACAACAGCTCCCCGATGCCAGAGTTTGTTTTCGGATTTGGAGGCGAGCGGGCGGCAGCACGGGGCAAGCGTCAGGGCGGCGTGGGGTGGGGGGTGGCGCAACGGTGAATGTGGGTCGCCTGCAAAGTGTGGGCAGAAAGAGTTGCGGTCGTTATCTACGTCGGAGGCGTAGAGGTGCGGCTCTGAAATGTCTTGATCTGCTGGAACGACCTCAACTACAGGGAGTTCTAGAGAACCTCTAAATGGTGATTTGGTGTTTTTGGCCTACTCTTCCACGCTGGCCATGATGTTTTAAAAGAATGGGAGGGGGGGGGGGATGGTGGTGCAGTATCCATGTTTTAATCCACTACACATGACCTGCCGACCAACTCGCCGTGGTGTGCTCGTTGTTACTGTTGGGTGGACAGAGGTGGCCATCATTGCAAGCTGCCCCCCTGGGACATCAAACTGAACTGGCCACCTCAGCATTTTCAAGTCCGGCGCGCTGCTAGCCATGACACCACGGCAGCATACGACACAGCAACAACGAGCCGCTGTTCAACGATCGATTGCTTAGGCCAAATGAATATTTATTCGTTCCCATTGATTGATTTTTTTTGTATTAATTTAAAGCAAAGTATGATATGTTAATTTCTCTTCCCGACCCTTTGCCTCACTGAGAGTCAATATGTCATTCATATAACTTAGACCGCCAACCGCTCATTAACACACACCTCATACAACAGTAGAGAGATCATGGCTGATGGTAACTGCGTCGGTTCTGAT